TTTTTTTGTACAACTAGGGATTGAACTCAGGCCCTTGCGCTTGCTAGGGAAGCCCTTACTCCACTGAGCCATCTCCCCAGCCCTACCCCTGAGATGTTTTATTCTCAGCACTTTCTTTTGCTTCAGGACAGGGTCTTGCTCAGTTGTCCAGGTTGGCCTCAAATCTGTTGATCCTTCTGCCTCAGCCTCTTGAATGGCTGGGATTACAGGCACAGGCCACTATGACGTCTCGTTTATGTGTAATGTTTTTTGAGCGTTTGTATAGCTTTTTAGCTGATGCCCAAGAAATTACATTATGTATACGTCATGAACACAGTTTACTGGTGTTCACAAATTGGCAGATAAATTTTCCCTCCCTTTATATCTTTTACATGAGAACTGTTTAACATTTTCTCAGATACGGTTATAATTTTCCTTCAGTTGTCAAACGTAATTTTGTAAGTTTAATAGGAGAGGGAAAATCTATCATACTTATCCATATTTTTAAATTTTTTTCCATAGTTCTCTTTTCCTCCATAATGCTGAGATTCCTTTTTAACTATTTAAGAACTTCCAAAAATGAAAAAGAAAAAGAAAAGAAAAAGAAAAAGAACGTCCTAGTTGGGTGTGGTGGCATATGCCTATAATCTCAGCACTGGGTAGACAGAGGCAGGAGGATCACTGTAAGTTGAAGACCAGCTTTGGTTATAATGTGAGCTCAAGGCTAGCAAGATAGTCTCACTGGACCCTGTCTCAAAAAGACCAAAAGAAAAAAAAAAAAAAAAAAAGTAATACTTCATCCGTTCTTCTAGAGCAGGTATGCTGGAGGAAAATTCTCCTGATTTTCTGAGTAGTTTCCTGATTTGTCCCTTTACTCCTGAAAGGTATTTTCACTGGGCGTGGAATTTTGTATTGGCAGCTTGTTTTCGTTTTGTCTTTTTGAGATAGCGTCTCAGGACGCAGTCCAGGGGAGGCTTGGACTCGCATGCAGGATGAGCGCGCTGGAGCTCGCTGGGTGCTGGAATTGCAGCTGTGCACCACGATGCCCAGCAGATCGGGCATGCTTTTCCTTTTGGCATCTTAGAAATAGTGTGGAAAAAAAGAATATTGTGCCCCTTTCTCTGGACTCCATGGATGTAAACTGCTATTTCTGTCATCCCCTGTGAGTAAAACATTATTTCTCTTGCTGCTTTCAAGAATCTTCTGTTGGGGCCGGGGAGATGGCTCGGTAGGATAAGCGCTTGCCTGGCCAGTGCAAAGGCCTGAGTTCAATCCCAAATTCCGCAAAAAAAAAAAAAAAAAAAAAAAAAATCTTCTGTTGTCTTTATGTATTTTTTAATAATCATTTATGTATTTATTTGGTACAGGGTCTTGCTACGGCATGGCGCAGGGCCCGCACGGGGAATGAAAATCAGGTGCTTGCACTTTCCAGGCAGGCGCTTAGACTGCTGAGCTATCTCTCCGACCCCTTACTGTTGTCTTTAGTTTAGAAGTTGGCCCTGCGCCTGCCTGGCAAGCGCAAGGCCTGAGTTCAATCCCCAGTTCTGAAAAAAAAAAAAAAAAAGAAGTTGGCCGTGATATATCTCAGTGTAAATATCTATGAGTTTTCTTACTTAGATTTTCTCAGCCTCTTACATCTGTACATTCCTGTTTACAAATTGGGGAGTTGGCAGTTATCATTTCTTTAGGTACTTCACGGGCCAGGAAGATGGCTCAGTAGAATAAGCGCTTCCCTGGCAAGCACAAGGGCCTGAATTCAATCCCTGGTTCCGCAAAAAAAGAAAATGCACTTTTTTAGGTACTCAATTCTACTTTCTTTCTCCTCTCTTTGTTTGTTGACATGGAGTCTCATTATGTTGTCCGGGCCGGACTTGAACTTTTATACTTAAGAGATCCTCCTACCTCAGCCTCCCAAATAGCTGGGACCACAGGCGTGTACCACCATGCCTAGCCTTTGTAGCTATGCTTTCTGGTACTCAATTCATTTCTGTGCACCCAGTAATCATAACTAATTGGTGCTCGTTATCTGACAGACTTTGGACTGAGTCATTGACATACTTGGTCTCATTTTAATCCTCACAAGAACAAATATTATTCCCACTTTATACCTGGAGAAACTGAGGTTCACAGAAGGCAAATAATTTAGGGAGTTCGTACCACTCAGAAGTACCAGGGCTGACGCCTGAGCACTGTGGTGGCCGGCCCTGTGGGCTCCCTGTAAGTCCTGGCCTACTGGAGACCAGTCACCACAGAAATGGGTGGAAACCAACAACAGGCCGGGGCAGTAGAGAAGGAAGAAAAATAAGGGTGAAGAAGTGAGTTCAGTGGATAAAGCTTCAGACTGCAGACACTCAGATGAAATTAAAAACATTGGCTAAACAAGTTTCGGGATTTTTTTTTTTTTTTTTTTCCAGTAAGGAGACTGAATTCAAGACCTTTGCACTGAGCTACATCCACAGCCCTTGTGAATTAAATTTTATTTTAGTTCTTTATCTTGAGAAAAACTCACTAACTCACTAAACTACCCCGGCTGGGCTCAAATCTGTGATCCTCCTGCCTCAGCCTCTCAGAGTGCTGGAATTATAGGTATGGACCACCATAGCCAGCAATGTTGAGGGTTTTTTTTTTTTTTTTTTTTTTTTTTTTTTGCAGAACCAGGGATTGAACTCAGGCCCTTGTGCTTGCCAGGCAAGCGCTTATTCTACTGAGCCATCTCCCTGGTCCCAAAATGTCTTTTATTTTTGGCGGAACCAGGGATTGAACTCAGGCCCTTGTGCTTGCAAGGCAGGCACTTATTCTACTCAGCTATCTCCCCGGCCCTGAGATTTTAATGTCATTCATAATATTGTTCTGAAATTGTGTTCCTTGTCACCATAGAAAAAGGATTCTAGTCTGATGGTAATGCTTACTAACCATAAACACAACTTGTAAACACAGGAATGTTATTCTTTTTTTTTTTTTGTACTTAGCATAGGGCCTCCAGGGTCTATGGGGGCTCACTAGATAGATCAGACTTATAGTTATCTTCCTGTTTTCAGACTCCCAAGTGCTGGGATTTCAGGCATACACCACCATACCCAGTCTCAATCCCTATCTCAGCATGGCAGGCCGGGAATTGAACCCGAGCCACTGTGCTCTGCCTAAGCAGGCACTTTAGTCTGCTGAGCTATGTGGCCAGCCCAGGAATGTTATTCTTGTTGAAAGAACAGAAATTATTTTGAAAAAGATAAAAAGTCAGGAGTGGAACTCCATACCCTGAGGCCCTGCTCTGTCTCAGAGGCGAAGGGGCTGATGGGAAAGTTCAGTAACTTTTCCTCAGTCAGTGGTGTATGATCTACGAGGAGAGAAAAGTTTCATCCCTGAGAAGAGCTTACCCACAGAACCCACAAGCTCTCAAAAAATCGGGGATGACAAGAGCAATTAAAGAAAGGGGTCCCCTTTTTTAGTTCTTTGTCAGTGTTACCAGATCCTACCTGAATCATCCCTGTTAGAAAAGTTGTGGCTGCTACAACACTCAAGGACTTGTTGTAGTTCTCCATGTAGTAAGGGGCGTTAAAGTCACTCTTGATGAAAGTGCCCAGGATCAAGTGGCCATCGTTGAATGGTTTCTCCTTCAAGACATTGATCAACAGGGCACTCACAAGGAAGAAGGGGCCTGCGGAGAGGGCGTGAGGCAAGAGGTCAAGGTTCAAGTCTGTGCAAACTAACAGATACAGCAAGATGTGGCATGGTGTTGTATGGGCTCTGAGCTGAAGAACACACTTGAGAGTGGCCACTGAGAGGTCAGAGGGAGCCGAGGAGAGAGCCGAGATACACATCCGTGAGCAGCTCCCAGGACTCAGATGCTGGGCCCAGCTGTGGCGTCTCTAAGGGTCATGGACATGCAGTGGGCTTCAGAGAGAGACGGGCTGGGAGTCCCGGGAGCCTCAGCCGCTGCAGCGGCCCTTAGTGAGTGTGAGCGGTAGCCAGAGCCATAACAATGGGAAGAGCACAACTGGAACCCCAGCGCTCTAGGAGGTGGAGGCAGGAGGGTTGTTGTGAGTTCAAAACCTGCCTGGGCTACAAAGTAAGCTCAAGGCTAGCCTGAGCTGCATAGGAGACCCTGCCTTAGGCCAAATAAGTAAACAAATAAATAAAATAAAAAATACATCAGGGCTGAGATATAGCTTAGTGTGAAGGCCTTGAGTTTAGCAATTTTTTTTTGGCTGGCTCAGGCTGCCTTAAGGGTGGATCTCGTAAGGCATGGGGAGCTGGTGATGGAATCGTGGTCCCCTGCACCTGACTGGGTTTGCCCAAGCAGGCTCTTAAACAACTGAGCTAACCTGCAAGACCTAAGGCCTTGAGTTTACAATGGCTCCCACTTCCACGCTCACCCACACAAAAAAGAAATTAAAAAGGGAGGAAGATAACACTTCTGAAGAATTTACTGTGTGTGAAGTGATGCTGAGCTAAACCTGTTACAAACAGCATTTTACTTAATTTTTACAAGTATTTCACAATTTTTGCACGGGCACACATGTATGAGCAGGCACAATACCTTTATTTTAAAGATTCTCTGTCTGTGTCTGTGTGTCTGTGTCTGTCTGTCTGTCTGTCTGTCTGTCTCTCTCTCTCTCTCTCTCTCTCTCTCTCTCTCTCTCTCTCTCTCTCTCTCTGTCCCTCTCA